AACTGCGGAAGCACAGGTGGTGTCAGTGAAACGGAACATTGGCAAGGTTACTGTGGCTTTCAATAACACTCCAAGATCAAAAGCCAACTACCGTTTGCGTCTTCTGCTGTCGTCAATCAACTCAGTTAGCAAGAGAGATCAAGAAGAAGATTACTTCCATGAATTAAAATCGAAAAGGCCATTGTTTGTGATGAGTGATTAGTGGTTTCAATCCATTTTTTGACTTTTTATGTTTCAAGGTTTGTTGCTTGTGATCGTAGTTGTGATTGACGGTAGCGAAAACGTGATTCGGATAAGCTGGCTTTTAAACTTCATAGTTCGCGTCTTATGAATGGTTTTAAATTGCGCTAATGGGACCAAGCGTACGACAGACGCATCGAGTTATTTAAACTTTTCGATGTTTTAGGACCATATGATTAGAAAGATAACTACTTTTGCCTCAAACGTCACAGCACTGAAGCATTTATCCATGGGATGAGGAAATTTAACTTGAAACATCCTGTTTCCTTTTTGTTCCGGAACAAAAATGGGGGTCGCTTCTTGTTTAGCCTTGTGTGCATGATTGTGCACTTATAAGTTTGGATTATCCAACTTACCATCCTGACTAGAGCAAAAAATACTGTTCCGCCCTGTGAGAGTACATGTGATAACTATAGATGAATCTGCATGTGGGACTACCCCTCGTAAGCGACCACCTATCCACAACACCAAATTTTTCCCAGTCAAAACCTTACACTTGGACCTCTCGTATACGACCACCTCCTGTAAGCGGTCACGCCCCGCTTTTTTGGGCTGTCATTCTAATGACTTTGCACTGTTTTTAACCTCTTGTAAACGATCACCTCACGCATTGTCTGACCTCTATGTTCACTGTGTGAACAATGCTATTTAGAACATACGAAGAACTTAGGCAAGCACATGCAACTACGCATATCGTAGCTTAGAAATTACATGCAACAAAATTAATTATCTTCCATAATAAAAGTATAGATGTATCTGGACTATCTTCTCAGGAAAGACCCGCCGTGGATATTTTCTCGTAAGTGACCTCCCGCAAGTCGTCGCATTTTGGGCGGTTGCTTTACGGAAGGTTCGACTGTTATTTGTAGTGTGTAAAGGTCAAATGGTGAAAAGAAGTAAATTACGTACAAGGTTAGGACGGGCCGTGGTCTGTTGGGATGAACCGGTTTTGGCTCAGTTTGTTTGACATTGTCGTTCTTTTGTGGTTCGTTGCTCATTACTACGAACTGTTCAATGTCTTATACTGGGTAGCCTGTGGTTAAACAGATGCACAATTTAAACTAAGTCTTTTTAACATGTTTAAAACTGTTGAAGGTGAAACCTGGAGGTGATCTTGTAGACTTTCCTCGAGACTAGCTCAGAGATTGAAGAGTAGTTCCAGAAATATTATATCTATAGATACTGGTGTATTCTCTCCAAAAACATTTTTAATGTTATGATCAAGCAAGAGGGGGTCCTGAGTCAACAGGCTGTTGAAATTAAGGCAAAAGAAAAATGATTATATTTATCTTAGAGGATTTGCATTTCCCCCGGTCGAGTCGCACTTCTGTCATTCCTAGACAAATCTATTAAAAGAAAAGGTTTAGATTAAGGTATATTCTTTGAAAAAAAGTTCTCTTAATCCCATTCAGGTGCTTTTTTCTTTCACTCAAAGTAAGCAAACAATATGAAGATAAGACCAAAGCGAAGCTCTCGAAGATTCTTTAAGAAATGTCTTTTTGAAATAATTCAGCATTCGCTATATTACAAAGCAAGAAACAAACTCGAAAAATGGACCTAAAAAAAAGTGAAAACCAATAACTAGTCAGCGGAGAACTTTAATTGCAATTAAGGTGGTTGGGCTTCGATACGAAGAAATGGTGGCATAATTTGAGGAGAAGAATGTTCTTTCAGCAATCCACAGTGATACTGATCGGTTGTTGTGCTGTCTAATCGTAGGACATCTATACGATTCAGGAATCTCAATTCCACTTTTCCTGTTAATGTCTGATGATGTTAAGGTAAAGTGTTATTTGACTATAGCCTCTTTCATTCTACGAGACACGAGAGTACCAGTGAGGGTTTCGGTCAATAAACGTATCTTCCTAAACCGGATAATGCCCGGTATTACTGCGGGCGTGTTCAGAAACGGCTGAGAGTTGAGTTCGTGATGCCGAGAAATTTCCCATACTACGCCGGTAAGTGTCTTATTCCCATTTCATCATAGTCTGGTCTCCTTTCCCTGTGGCCTATGCTATTGAAGCTTTTCGAAAGTCATGATCACAGATAACACCAGAGGTAGAATCATGTTCAAATAGTAAGTTTATTGAATACCCTAGAGAGTCTACCAACAGTTAACAAGCCCTATACAAAGCAGATGTTAAGGTGTTCAAAACAACATGAACTTGGCTTCATTTTACATACTCTGTTATATTTTATCAATGGCCACATACGTATAAGACGGCAAAACAGCTCGTATTTTTGCCGAGGTTAAGAGCGCGCGCGAGCGGTTAAACGAAAAGTCTGGAGCGAGAGGGTGAAAACGGGGAGTGAGACTGGGCCTAAGGGCGTGTGAGGTTCGCGCGCTTTTCGCGAAAATCTCACGCCCTCGCCCTCACGCCGCTCATTCGCGTCTTTGCAAAACCGATTATGACTATACAAACCCGACTGTTTTCCAGTCTACATACGTAGCAGTGCTTCAGAAAGTAAAAAGACGTAATTTACACAGACACTCATGTGGGTATAACATCAAGAGCTTTGATAACAACTAATTCTGAATATAAATGTACAAGATTAATAGGCCATTTCCGAGTTGCTCCAAGCCTCTGTTTCAGAGCGAAATGATTTTGATGACAATGATTTGCTATTCTCATGCAAGCTAAACTCATTATCGCAAAAAGTTTAATCTAAGCCTCGCTAGCTTGAAAAGCAAGACCTTTTAGAACTCGGAAATTGCCCGTTTATGAAGCATACTTTACCCTTATAAGGGGTGACGAATGGTCTTTGCGAGCATTCGCGAGCATGCCGAGCACTGCGATTCTTTTGCGATCACGAGCAGAAGTAAAAAATTTGCTTTGTGAGCTTGCGAGCAACTGCAAAAATTTGGGGAGCACGAGCAAGGGAGCACTCGTTTAAATTTTGTGAGCAAATCGAGCAAAGGTAAAATTTTGCGAGCAGTTAAAAATTTTAATGGACCATTCATCACCCCTCTTATTAAAAATGTCAAGAAAAAATGGATTTATTTCATTGTCTCTTTCAGGTTTTATTACGTAAATTGACCATGCAATCTTTAAAAAAATTAAATCTCTGCTGTTATTTGAAGTTCCATATACAGTGAAACCTGTATTAAGCGGACACCGTATTAAGAGGACACCCTCTATTAAGCGGACAGTAGCCGAAGTCCCCAAATTTATTTCCCTTATTTACTTTAAATGAAACCTTTATTAAGCAGACACCTCTACTAAGCTGACGCGGACATCTAAAAAGTACCTGAAATGGTCAATTCTATTGTTGCCAACCTGTATTGAACGGACACTTGTAATTAAATTCCACCATCCAACATGCAAGACACCGGAAATACTAGAGATTGCCTCGAATTGCCCCCCAAAAAGTTTTAGATTTTTCCATTTAAAAAACGTGACTTAACAAACTTATTTGATTAGTTTCCCAGTACAGTATTGTTTTCTATTTCGTTTTAATTGTATAGAGCTTTTTTCACTAATATGATTTCTTCAAATTTGAGTTGCAATCTATGTTTAAGGTACTATGATCAATTGGTCCACTTTGATTAAGAAATTCATGCAAACGTAAATCGTCATAGTCCCTGGGAGTATTCTAAACGTTTCCACTGTTCATTTGAATGGCATTTGACACCTCATATGGCGTTATCTATTGAAACCTGTATTAGGCAGACACCCTGTATTAAGCGGACACTACAGCTTTCCCCGAGGGTGTCCGCTTAATACAGGTTTCACTGTAAAGCTACACCTCATTGGAAAGGGCAAAAATTAAACTTTCAGAAAAAAAATACTTCGATTTCAGGAAACCAATAATATTCCGCAAAAAAAATAATAATTAAAAATTTCAAGAAAAGATTAGCTGAATAGTGGATTTAATGTATAAAACACGTGCTGTGAGTGATTTAAACAGCTTCAAAACGTCCCCGGACTACTTCATCTCAATAGGATTGCTAAATAATACATAAAAAGATGGCAAACTAAAGCAGTCAAAAGTAAGCCAACACGACAAGTTGTCCGGCAAAGTATAAACACCTAATGTATCCAATGCGTGACTTTCTACTTTAAAGATCGGCGTGACGCAGTTTCGCTCCGTCATTGAAATCACGTCGAAATCACCGTTCATATGTGAGAACAGAATTCCTATCCGGTATGATTTTCGTGGCAACACAAAAACTATCCAGTATAGTTTGACCGTAGTTAGCCTAATATGTACAACCCTCTCCATCATCGCTAAAACTTCATTTGCGCATACCGCAGCAATTACTTAGCTCAAAGAGGCAAAACTTGTGGCCAGGTACAACAACCACAAAAAAATGTCTTAAGTAATTGAAGTTAATAATTAAACTTAACAAAACTTATTTTGTCTCTTCTTCCTTATTTGAAGGGTCATTTCTCCCACCTCCCTCTTGTTTTTGACTAGTCATCATTATGAACTTACAATTAAGTGTTACCAAGAGAGAATAAAAGGACAAAGAACGCCCAGTCACGCCCTTGATTGGTACCAAGTCCTATTATGGCTCTGGTTGGCACATGTGACTTTCTCCGAAGAATTTTTAGTCCAATTAAACGCTTGAAATTAATCAGAATTTGGTGTCCGGAGAGGCCCGCAAACGTTTATTCAGTGTTTTCAAGAGGCAATTCAACAGTCGCAATAAAAATCTTCTGCATTGTTGGCTTTGAGGCAGTCGCGCGGAGGACCATGTTGATGGTTTTAAACAATGGAAAAAAATTCGCGGACGTGCCAAGAATTCCCTTTTGGTGTTAACGGGCATGAAGAGGAATAGCAATATTTTGTCTTTGTCGACGTTTAAATAATATCAGGAGAGCTTTTCTGAACTCTGGCATTCTGATTGTGTAAATAATGGGATTAACAAGCGAGTTTGTGTGGCGTAGAAGAGTAAAAGATAATCTCAAGCGTAAATATGTCAGGAAAGAAAACCTAGTATCTAGAACAGAAAAAGGAACAAAATTATATACAACATATGGTAACCACAGCAGCAAAGATATAATGGTCATTATGAATAATGTCACAGTCAGTTTTCTTTGTCTATTGGCCGCACCATGGGACGGAGGACGGGTTCCACACCAAAATTTTAAAGCAATGGAGGTGTAAGAAATAAAGATAACAAAAAGGCAAAGGCAACGATATGACAGCCATAAGTACGAGTGCAAGTTTCCATCCAGACGTGTTAACGGAAAGGGAATTAACATTGCAGTTAAAATCCAGACGCCACCTATTGCCACCCCGTAGGCCCATTTTTTGATGTTGCGATGCCTGAATGGACGAAACGTCGCATGCATCCGATCTAAAGAAATTACTGCAATGCCTGCCACAGAGGTGAGAGAAAGCCAGACGTCGATCATGAGAAGCACAAGAAAAGGTTGCCATTCCTGCGCAGCAAGAAACTGTTTAGAGTGGAATATGAATTTATTTCCAACTTCACAACCGTAGAGGAGGAAATGAAATACTATAGCGAAAGTGGCTACTCCTCCTACAAACATATCAACCACGGTCAAGTTTATAACCAAGTACATGGCACGAGTGCGAAGATTACTGTTCTTTATAAAAAGAATAATTGCTAGGAGGTTCACTGCGACCACAGCAACAGTTATAGTAAGGGATACAGCATACCATGTGCTGCACTCGGCTGAAGAGATCCTCCTGGAGAACATTGTTTTCTTTTAATTCTCTTTTCTCCTCCCTTCAAAAAGAAATCGAATAAAGTTTGGTTAGTTGAAAAAGGAAAGTTAGAAGGTGAACTAAAGAGGGTTGACGTCGACTTCTTAAATGCCAAGAATGGAGATTGTAAATTAACAAAAATTATTCGATAGAGAGCTCACCTTAACTTTAATTTCTTGATACTTTTTTAACGCTGAAATGAATCCCTTCCTTTCACCTGTGGAAAGAAAAAAATCAAAGGCAGCGGTTGAGGGGACAGTGCGTTGAGTTGCTTGACCGGAAACAGAGGGCAAAAAAGTATATGAGAATTTTATAGCTGTTATTGTTGGCGCTCATTGAACTGCGAGTCACTAGGAAGTAATTGATCGCCTGGTAGAGAGTTTTTTTGTCATTGGGGAGGGGAGCACTCAAGAACGGTTTATAGGGAAGTAGATCCAAGGCCTTTTCCCTTTTGTATACCATTTAATTATGACAGAAAAGGTACCCGTATCACATACCTAGTTTGGAACTTTGCAAAAATTTTAACTGCTGTTCTGATCCAATGTCTTTTAAACTAGGAATAAATCACAAAACAAGAACGTTTATTTTTTTTGTTGTTTCATAGCCATAAAATAAATTTGTTAGCCCTTCGGGCTCGATTTCCCTACTTTTTCATATACTTTAGCTAGTAAATGCCCACTCTTTTATATACATGAAGCCCAAATAAGGCACTTCTTTTGGGCGGAGCCTCCGCGTATAGGCTATTGTGGGGAGTACTTCCCCCCCGGCTAGGTTTCAAGAATATTTCCTACGTTAAACTTGAATAAATCATTAAATACGCACAAAGAGACTGTATCGTATCGCACACTAATTGTGCCAATAAAAGTCAATCAACTTTGAAGTTAGCGTAGCTCAAAAATATCTTTGAATGAATAAGCCAGTGATGGAAGAAACTTCTTCTAAGCTTCTTTGGTATACGAAGTCCGATAAAGAATTCGCTACTACAACCCGGTCTGCCCATTGCAACGATTAACCAAGTTATTAACCGAACGGTAGGCCTGTTTTTCAGACCTCCCATAATGTAAACAAGAAAATTTGTCGCTGAGATAAACTTGTTGTCAATATGAACTTCCTTTTTAATGACTCCAGTACGTAGAACGAACAAAATATTTCATTGCAGCCTCTCAGCCTGTGCCGGGAACTAGGTAAGGGATGTGCGCGCTTTCCTGTTGATCGCGGGTATCGCCATTATTTACGCCCTAACTGTCTCAGGCGAGTGCTACCTCTGCTACCTATTCTTGCTTACAGCTGCTTTCCGTACGCTTCCTATAACCGTTTATAGGTTTTTAACCATAATTATTTTTTTATATCAGTTTTAAGGGTGGGGGTTTTGGAGCAAACAAAACATATATTCTTCAAAACATGTGGTCAACATCCTTTAATTGTTGTTTTGTTCCATTGCAAATGTTTGGGTTGTTACTTGGTATCTTCTTACTTATCCTTTGTTGAACTGTTAAACCCTCAACGATCTAGAATTATTCAGAACGTAAAAAGATGAAGATATTTTTGAAATTTCTAGTTACAAAAGAACATAGAAAATTAAACCGGCTGTATCTTCTTAACTCTTCCTTTTTGCAAGATATCAATGTAAGCTTCTCTTTAAAAGAAAGACAAAATTCAGCAAGGCTTAACTGTGCGGTGGTGACTATTGGCAAGATGACTTCGCGATCATGCGAGGAGAGGAATTGTTTTAAAGGCTTAACGTTGTTTTTTCTCACAACAACTTCTAACATAGCGCTTACCTTTCCAACAAATACTGAGCTGGTTGGTTGCCTTGAAGGAAGCTGAAATTTTTTTGCTCAAATTGGCGACGGATTTTTTCCCTAGATTGACGTCTGGGGTTTCTTTGTTCAACGTAAACGTTTTGAGTCATAATTTATAAGGATAAACCTTCAGTGAAAACGGTTCAAATCAAGTTTCGTATGTACTCCCGGTAAATGGTTCCCTTTCCTTAATTTCTCACCCTTTTAAGACCAAGAGTGAACGTGACACTTTGGTTAATGTTCTAAATAGTTCTGACAGTTGCAGCTGCAATAGTCTACTAATTAGCCCTATATTTTTTGGAGTTAAGTATAACCTCATGATTAAAGTCCCAAAATAATTGTAGAATTATGTTCACAAGGCACTGCGCAAGACAATTTTTCGACCGGTTGAAGTTTATGCGTTAAGGTTTTCTGTTCACACGGAACTACCTTAACCGTACAAAGAAATCAGACGTCTAGAAGTTCAAAGTCCCTTATGAACAAAGTGTCCGGTCAAATTTTTCAGGGGGTGGAAAATTCGTCCGGTACTGTGAGATCTCCTCTGCAAGTATCACCCTCCTGTTTTAATGGGGAGAGAAAGGGGAGTAACATGTACAGTCCCCCACTTTCTTTTCTCCTTTTCCCGTTCGCAGACTGACCTCACGGTCAATGCAACCAAGCAAACCTCTATAAGGTGGGTTTCCGCTGACGCGTAAACAGAGCCGAAACTAGATTTTTTGTAACGGGGCGCATTATCTCGGGCGCCGAGGGCACGCGCCTTGTAGTGGGGTCTCGGGGTGTCCTCCCCCAGAAAATGTTCAAGTTTGGAGGCTCCGAAACGCTATTTTTAGCACTTGTCATGAGATGTCTCCGAAAAATCGACCTCGAACCTGAAAATGGCAAACAAATCAAAATAACTGAGTCTGAAGAAAACAACTCCATCCACAGACTTGATGAGTCTGGTTCAACAGGTCCAGGGGGGCAGCTGCCCCCCTTGGCCTTCCCGCTAGCTACGGCTCTTGTAAAATTGACGCATGGATAATAGGAAGACTGGTTCCAACATAGTGGAAAAATGTGACGTCACATTATCGAGAGCCATTCAACCTCTTACATTCGATGTTTTGCGCGTCTTACTTTTCATCAGATATTTCATATCTCTGCCTTCGACTATACAAATTGCCCATGTTTTGAAGTAAAGGATGAAGAGGACTTGCTCTCGGAGAAAACAGTTAGATGGTACAAAACCGGTAGAGGCAAAAGACAGAGTAACTGATTATAAAACTTGTGAGAGCGAAGAATGACTCCAGCGCTCGATAATTTTATGCACTAAACGGGAAGCCTAACTACATAAAAACTATACGAAAACTTACATGTATACAGTTACAAAACACCTATAAAAAAAGGCACAGCCTAATTTTCTACAAACCTCAGGAAAACCGAAAACTCTTTTTATCACGGTTTTGACAATCAGTTGCTTTCTGCTTTTATCGACAAGCTCAGCGAGTGTCAAATTTTATAAGTTAATAACACTTGACAAAATGATTTTATTAGCAGGTAGAAGTACCCAGCTCAAATTAAATAAGCGTTTAATTTCCCCATCAATTTCATTTACGGACAACCAAATGTGTTAGCCTATCATTTTATCATTAAATTTGACCAACATTTTGTGGAGCGATTTCTACGGTCAAGATTGCCTTCAAACTTGCAGACATGAAACTGGAGAGCTCTGAGGCTTATTTGCTGAAGTTAGGGAAAAATCTGTCGTGGGATTTTCGAAGTTATTTTCATTTTTCGTAAAAATGATGTTTCAAATATATGTCGATATCTCAAACGCTTTTATACTTATAAGAAAATAAATAAAATTTTCTTAAAGTTTTATTATTATTTATTAAGGATGCAAAAAATCGTAGAAATCGGTTGAATCTTTCATTCTGAAAAACGCCAATCAAAAACATAACCAACACGCATATATATAGGAACGGGCCACCGAATCTATTTATATGCGTGCTAGTTATGTTTTTGAATCGCCTTTTTCGGCAGGAAACGTTTAACCGATTTCTATGATTTTTGGCATCCTTAATAAAAAATGGTCGAACCTAAGGAAAATGTTATCTATCTTCTTGCAGGTATAAAAAAAGTTTGAAATATCGGCACATGTTTAAAACCGCTTTCTTACAAAAAATGTCAATAACTTCGAAACCCTAAGATAGATTTTTCTCTAACTTCAGCAAATAAGCCTCAGAGCTCTCTAGTTTTATATCTGCAAGTTTTGAAGTCAATCGTGACCGTAGAACTCGCTGCACAATTAGCTGGTCTACTTCAACCTTAAAATGCGACGCTAACACGTTTGCGAAAGTTGACGCACAAATAGAGGAAAACTGCCGGCCGACGGACTATCTCCTATCTGAAAGGATATTCTTGCCCAAAGCGATCAGTCGCAAGAAACTGAGTAGTCAAAAACCTGCGGCAAATACAATTTGCAATACAAGAAGAACAACTTTATGCTGAATGCGGGGCAAGAATAAAGAACATCTATTTATCAAAGTTACTGTGTATTTGCCTTTCTCTTTTCGAAAAAATCTTAACAAAGAAAGATATAGCATCTACGGAAATCTCCTACCAGTTTTTAGCACCGAAGGTTTCCGTCTTGAGGTGAAATATACCCACCAACTCCAGTACTTCAACCGATCCATTTTCAGCTGCAACGAAAACCCTTAGGTAATTTATTCAAACTTGTTTGATTTGCCATCCCATTCGCAGGGAAGTTTGCCATTGGGGATAATGAAAAGAATAAGATGATTATTAAATTTTCTTTATCTTTATCCCCAAGTGGCAAACTTCCCGTGCGAATCTGATGTCAGGTCTAAAAAGCTTGAATAAATTATCAAGTACGAGGGCGTTCAGTGCAGCTGAAAAATGGACGGTTAGAAGTACTGGAGTTGGTGGCTTTATTTCTCCTCAAAACGGAAACCTGAGACGCTAAAAACTTTTGAGAGTTTTTCGTAGATGCTATATTTTGCCTTGTTAAGATAGGTTTCGAAAAGAGAGGGACAAATACAAAAAAAGTTTAATGAATGGAAGTTTATTAATCCTGCCCCGCATTCAGTATAAAGTTATTCTTCCTGTATTGCGAACTGTATGCGCCGTAGGTTTCTGATTACTCCGTTTCTTGCAACTGAAGCTTTGGGCAAGAATAGTTTTCCCCTATTTGT